AACCGAGCTATTAAGTTAACTAAGCATTCTCTCTTCTAGTTAACGAGTCGCTGGTCTTGCCTACAAAATGAGATATGATCTAGTCTTTTAAAGAGAACTGATAATTCCTCTTGAGAACCTCGAACGGAAATTTTGGTAGTAATGTCAACAAGACGATAAGAGACAATTAATTTAGCATAATGGTACTTTGTTAGGGCGATTCGGCTAGGACCCAAAATTTCGTTCCTTATTTATATTTCCAAAAAAACATTCATATGAAATATTCTATGGACTAAGACACTCTAAATTAGTAAAGTAGTTCATTACGGACGCCAATTGTCATAAGCATCTTTTAATGTCACTAGTTTCTCAAACTGCAGATAATTATCCCCTGGTCGTCAAATAACGTTATAAAAGCGTGATCCGTCGTAATCGTGATAGATCACAGATCGGAAATCGGCTAACATCGTGACAAATTTTTAGTATTAGGCCTCTGGAATGTCGAGGTGTTAGGGAATTATGCGGTGATAAGAATTTCCTTTGCCATCTTCTAGAGCTGACAAAGGGGGCAAGTAATCCAGAGGGGGTCCTGATTTCCATGTGTTTTATGCGTTGGCTGTGTTTACTGGGATTTCCTGGGCAGGGAATAAAAATCCACTTTGTTCTACATTGAAAATACAGACAGCGTCAACAACCACCTTAGAATCATGGAAGCGAACAAAAGGGAACTTTAAAAAATTGTTTTGTTCAAATTAGACGCGTTTCTAGCTTAGAGTCAAATTTTGGGCGTGCGACTTCAAAGTGGTGAATTGTAGCATAAGTCCTAGTCCCACATTGGCTTAAGTAGAATAGGACTCATTTATAGTACTTGCTGCACACAATTAAATTTGGATATCATTTAAATTTAACCGTTCTCGTTTACATTATTAGCGTTCCTCCCTTGAACTCAAGGTTATGCTCTTGAATAAAGATACATGGGAGGTAATTTAGGAACCTTTATACAACCAGGCGCACGCTCATTGTCACGTGTGTTAAAAAGTTTAATTAAAGTCAATGGGACTGTCACTTGATCTTTTTTAAAAAGTCAATGGTTACAAAGTAGCGACAGATTAGTGTTAAGCAGAACAGCGAGCACAGTTAACCTCAGAACGACCCTTCAACCCAAAAACGTTCACAAGTGTGGCCACATCAGTCAAAAAAGCAAAACAGGTACCTTTTCTTATGTTGATTAAATGCTATGTTGTAGCTTAAAATTATCGAATGTGAGGAACCTGATGTATTTTATCGCTTTCAAACTTAAAGCTTTCCAAGATGACATCGTTGATGCCTCTGTGAAAGATCGCATAAAATTTGTACTGATAATACGATTAGTGTAGAGCAATCCTAACCTACAGTTGTGGTTATTATGAAACGCTTGTGATGGATGTGGTAAATCAAATTAAAACCTTCGGTTCTACTCTACCTATGACTGATAATAACCAAAATTCAATCGGCCCTTTGTTATTTCATAGATCATTGTTGATCTAAAAGGCTGCATCATACCAAAAATTTTTGCCCAAACGATGTGAACAACTAACCGAGCCCCCTGTTTTGGGAAGTTGCATGACAAGTTGCAACTAATTCTGTAAGCAGAAAACTATAATGTCCTAGCTCTCAAAAAGTACCCGCGGGAAGACTGTGTGCCCTAAACCACCCAATTCACTTTCACAAATTACTGACGAATGCTTCAACTGAAAATAGAGGCCCCGGCGAGCAGCAATGCAACAAGCGTCAATCATGGTCCCCACGCACCCCTCGTCCATAATTTTCGCAACACGTCTGTTCCCCGTGCGCCCGAGTTGTCACGCGCATGTCTTCCTTCAGGAGCGTTTTCATTGGTTAGTAAGTCCTAGGCGCGGAAGATTCCAAGGAGGAGGGATGCTGATTGGCTGAAGTCACCGAGTGAATTATTGTGTCTAATGTGCTGCACAATTTTTCCGGTCTTCGATTTTACAGCACCACCACCAGTAAGTGCCGCTTGTTGTTTTTACTCTATTTTTATCATCGTTTTCTGACATTGCATTAGTAGACCTACTTTAAAAAAATCGGGTTTACGTATGAATCTAATGTTGATGGCTTAAAGATGTTCACTTTCTGAAACTTGCAATGTTTAATTTCTGAGGATGGATCTTTTTCTTCTTCTAAAGGCTCAGATGTCTGCATAACTTTTTTAATGCCTTGATATACCCAACTACCCTCGTAGCCCGACTTCCATCGATTGTGGCTCAAAAACCACGTATCATAGCCACTAGACCGTGAATTGTCATAACTTGCGCTCAACAATTAAAAACTAAAATTGCAAATAACCGAAACGACACATTGATGTAGCACTATGGATAGCTTACGCTGAGACAAGCTTATTTTGTTGACCTGATTTCCAGTTAAGATTTTTTCGAATTTTTTTCGCTTCCACCGAAAAAAGAATTAAGAATTTCTTGAATGATGAAAGTTCCCTTATGGTCTTAAAAGTATATGAAGGGACACTACATAAAATGGTTAATCTGTTTTATTTATCTTGAGATTGGCTTTTTCACACGCGTTTTGCCATTTTAAAGTTTTGATACCAAACACAATAAACCAACTGTGGTTTCTTGCCCCCGGCTTTTAGCATGAAAAATCCCTACAATCCGATTCATGCCAGTCATGAGTGCTTCAATTTGCTGCGGGAACATTTATTAATTTAAGCATAGAAGAGTTTTATTAGAAGGTCCCACTGTCCATGTTTAAGGCAGACGTTCCACCTTGAGCTATTGAGGCGCCTCAGACGGACTGAAGGTAACAAATACTGCATACCCCGCATTTGAGCAGTTGCACTTAGTTGGTTCGACCAAAACCTATTTCTCTGGGTTCATTCTTGAAAACATTATGCCAAACCTTAGCACCTTTTGCGCGGCTCTACAAATCGGCCCAAGCTAAATTATGTGGTTAAACTCCGTTAGGCTTGTGGTTGCAGTTCGCCATTATTTCATGGATGTTTCCGTTCTCAAAAGCAATCTTCTTTTTGTTCAACTGGTTGTGGATGATGGAGTGAATCAGTTCAAATATAAACTCCACCTGCGCAGCCTCTTTTACAGTCCTCTAGTTCTTCCTCTCCAAGAAGAGTCAGAAGCAGCAAGTCATTACCTCACGACCTTGTTCTGTTCGTTATTGGTGCCTCTACCTTAGCTGCAGTTAGGCCGACCCAAGTTTATATTTAATTAACGATAAGATTTTTGTTTGGGTGATTATGGCCGCTCCGAAAATGCACGATTAATTTTAGTTACATCGGTGCATTATTTGCATGAAGACTTAGACTGGTCGACTCCAGACTAAGAAGACCACGCTGCATCAAGCGACTGGGCTGCACTGGCATGCTTGGTCTTTCATTTATTCACATTGTCGCTCGTCCCCTCTTCCAGCGTGCGGTATATTGCGGTGTATCCAGGTTTTCTACCGAACTAGAATCTTCATCATATCGAACTTCACCATTTTGACCGATAAAAGTTTTGGAATTTGAAACGTTTCACTAAATAACCAAAATGGTAAATTTTGCACGGCGAAGCGATAAATCGAATGTCTCCAACTTGCATTGGTCAATCATCCCACAACGGTAAGGTACCGATTGAAGCCCGAACAGCAAGTCTTAGCAACATATTTTTTACTAGCCACTTTCTTAATTTATGAAACAGTAGTGTTTAAATACCAATGGGGAGTAAGAGATAGGTCATGATAATATTATACCCGAGATGTCACGATTAGTTTGAAATCTTGAAAATTATCGAGGTTCTCCAAGGCTCTTACAAGCCAACAATTGCAGCGTGATTTAAGTGCATGGCGATTCGGTTATGGAATGTCTTAATACACGTTGAGAGAAATTCATTCGCAAATAATGCAACCTACCTATCGAAGCCAAAGCATTTTTCAAATTCAACTATTGCTTATATTAATCCGCATTGAAAGGCAATAGGCGGATATAAGGCAGAGAACCACTCTCCCTTCAAATCACACAAAATTTATATTGGACATTAAAAATTCTTATTCACCTTGCGGGGCATAAGGGGGGAGGCGGAGTCGGTGAGAGCAGTCGTAGAGAGGATTTAATGTTCACGCGTGGGAAAGAACTTCGCACGCCTTGATTCATTTCTCAGTCTGATGCAAACCACGACTACATATTATCCTTCAAGAATGAGATATTAACTTTGAAAACCCCTTCACAATGGAATAACAGCTGAATTACGTGGACCCATTGGCGTGACCCCGTCTCGTGAGTCTCTTATTATTCTCTTTAACTTGAGAGTGGTCAGATCACGAGCTTCTATGTCTGCAATGTTGCGATAAATTCGTAATTGTGGCATGGATGCTGTTATAGGTAATTTGCTTAACGCTACTTGCAGAAATTGCCAATAGGTTGACTCAGGAAGGTCTTTTGATGTAAAGCGAGTTTTATGAATGGACGAATCCAGGTGGGTACGGTCGCTGGAAGGCTTTGATGGCTGGTATAAAAACTGCCTCTAATGTATGCCTTTTGTCAAGTCGTCATTTACATGTCAACTAAATTTTACGCACTTTGTACAACGTGTTCTTCCTCCTTACACGAAATAAGTTTGCGTAAATTCCTACCTGGTAACCACTTTTGTCAACCAATTGAGAAGACGAATGGAGTCTCGAGGAGCTCAGACAGAAATTTACCTATATCGTGCAATCGTGCTTAAGGTTGTAGCAAAAAGTAAACATGCTTTTAAAATTGTCCGATTTTATAAGTTAGTTAATAGTCACTAAATTTATTTAAAATGATTTTTTTTAAAAGACTTTTTGACCAGTTTATAATGTACTGCATTTCAGACTTGTAAATACTTCAATTAGTACAAAGTTAGGAAGTCAAACGCAGTTTCTTGATTTTAACCATGCTTAAACAACCTTTATGATTCGAACAGTGTGCCTTAGAATTACACCAGCATTTAAATAAACTACCTATGCATGTACTACTTTATTTCGCTTCAGCCATGACACATAGACACTCACAGCGGCTGCCACAGTTGGACGGAGTGGAACAAACCAACTCGAATTCTACCAGCCCTCAGCCTAATTCGCTAAAGCACACCTCCCCAGTTACTGCGGATGGGTCTACTTTCAGTTCTTCGAGCTCTGCGCTTTCCCCACAGGGACCCGATTTCTGGAATAGCCGTGAGTGGACGGCTCTAACAGCACGAACTCAGGCACTCCTTAATTCTGAGCCCCACAACAGGAGCATGCAAGCCCCCTCAGTTTCTCACAACTTCTCCCCAGAAATGGAGCGACCGTCTACTAGTACCTCAGCTGTCACTTTGCGCTCAACACGAAAGTGCCGCAAATGCGCCTGCCCCAATTGCACCTCTGAGGCTTTGGGTCTCTCTGCCAGAGTAAGAGGTCGCAAGGTCCACATATGTGAGCTCTGTGGCAAAACTTACGGCAAGACCAGTCACCTGACAGCCCACATTCGGTGGCACAAGAACGAGCGTCCCTTCAAATGCCCCTTTCAGCACTGCGACAAGGCCTTTACGCGCTCCGACGAACTCCAACGTCACATGCGTACCCACACAGGAGATAAGAAGTTTCAATGCGAATTCTGTCAGAAGCGTTTCATGCGAAGTGACCACCTAAGCAAACATCGTAAAGTGCATGCTGTGGCAGCGCCCCTAATTGTGAGTGGACGAAGGGAGGCGTCAGGGTCGGTTACCAGCCCTACCTCGACATCAGACACCACTTCCCCAGACAACGGTCTCATGACCGACGACATGATACAGCTCCCTTTTTCGAGCGGCAAAACGGGCATAGGAGGTGTTTCCTGAACAGGAGGAAAAACAGCCCATATCTTGTAAAAATTGTTATTACCAACCGTGTCCTTAAAAGATGTATTCAGAAAATAAAATGTACATTCCAGCACAGGTCAAAATGCTTATGAAATAAAAGCGGTCCCAAAAAGCTTCAGGCCACCACACGATCGATTCCTTAATGAATTTGCTCTTAAATAAATGCACGTCTTGCAGTTAAATCCTTCCAACCACCTTATTTTCTAATATCGCATCACGATATTTCACGATAATTCGGTGACGTGTAAAACTATTAATTCAGGCATTTATCAGAAGATATGCAGTTTCAAATAAATTAATTTTTGTACTAATAAGGCAAAATCTAAATTAACCACACTTTAGAAATCGCGTTAAACCGCCTTTTACGAATTTTGGAACGTACCATAATTAGGAGTCACTATTAAATATTCGCGGTCGGCAACGCACAGGTGGTGCTGGAACGAAGTAGCTGCTTTGTTCGACAGCTGACGAGTTGTCACGTCTACATTTTTTACTTAGCCGTAGACCCAGCCTCATTTCCCCTGTTGACATGCAAACACCTTTGAACTTTAGTCGGTCGCTTAAACCCAATTCTTTGTAGAGGAGGTTTTTTGTAAACCAATGTCAAAACCTAATGATCTTATGTTATTGACAATTCCACCTAGTTCCACAGTGATTACAGTAAGTAGCTGAGTTAAATCAGTAGGCAGCGAAGTAGACACAGTACTTGGCCTTGTCATCCAGGGGAATTGAATGAGAATTAAAAAATTCCGTTCATAAATGTTTCACTTATGCTACAAGTGCAACCCGGATTTTTAATTATCTGGAGGCTGAGGTCTAAGTTTATGTAAATTAAACTGCCATTAAATATTTGGAAAAAAAACCCTAAAATACAAATATTGACTCGGCTTGCAATGCACCTACACAGACACCAAGTCTACCAGAAAGGCTCTGACTTACAAATGACCCAATCAGACCGAGATAACTACAAACCACGAGTGTAACCGAAGCCGTCCACACACGAAAGGCACGCCTCTGTCTAGGCGGCACAGCAATTGCCGCGCTTAACCAGGTATGGTAAGGAATCCTAAGTCAGCTGATTACGTTTCTTACACATTACTGGTATAAAGTGGTTATTGTTTAGACAAAAGCACGAATTTGGATTTTGTGAAGCCTAGTGAAGTAATTGACAAATGGAAAACCATGACAGCCGTGCCACATGCGAGTACACTGCCGTCACAGTGACGTGGAAGCACTAGGCTATAGCTGACGCGTATGGAAAGCAAAATTCTCGGGTAGACAGATTTTAATGAACTTCAAAATGCCTAAGGGTACAGTGTTTGGAGAGATGGCTGGCTGACTGATTAGCAAATGCACCAGGCTTCAGTCCGCGGACAGGCCCGCTATTGACCTACATAATCGTACTTATTAATAAACACTGAAAGTTCATAAAATGGGAATGTAGAAAATATGCGAAAAACCAAACACCAAAGTGGCCATTTTGGCAATCAAAATTAGTGACCCCTAAAAGTACTGAGATTCCAAATGAGAACCTGATACCTAGACAATGTATGGCGCGTAAAACCAACTTATTCGTGCCTTAAAGGACCGGAATGACACGAGTACCTATACAGTCAATTCCGAAAGCAGGTTTGACTTGAGTACACCACTACCGGGACCTCAATCTCAAGTTGGTTAAGTGGTGACAAAAGTGTTGCGTGCGCGCTGCACATATTTGTGAGTTCATTTCTGGCTATACAATCTCGATTCCCCGTATCCCGGTAAAATAGTCCCTGAAAACGTGCATATAAAAGCCTGTAGAAATTAAATATTTACTCTTCTCCGGTAGAAATAGCAAAATCAACAGAAAAAATTGCATTATCAGCGGGCTAAGTAGCGGGAGTGAATGGAATAGAGGCAACGGAATACTGCCCAAAACAACCGGCTATCCCAGTTGCTTATCAATGGATAAAGTATCTTGTAGAATGACAGCAAACTGTTTTCGAAAGGCTTCGGTTGAAAAATTTTGCACAACGTGTTCATGGGAACGTTTTCCCATAGTTTTTGAGAGCTCGGGATCATTAATGAACCTAAGATAAGAAATAAAAGAGATTAGGTAACGAAAAAACTACCTGTAGTTGCATACACAAGTTCACCAAAAGGTTGGACTGATTTCTAAGGACGCCCAATTGACTCTACGTGATACTCAGATATCTTTAAGTTTGGGTTTAAAAAAAAACAGAAAAACTAGGAGTGGCTTTGGAGATGAGTTTTGGAAGGTGCACTGAACTTAATTGGGTTTGAGAATAAATCAGAACTTGATGCCTACCATCAACAAATAAAGCGGGCATCACGAGCAGTAAGGTTCAAGTTTCAAGAATTACTTACTTGCTCATAAATCCAGCAATATGACTGGCGACCTCAGAATTCTTTAATAGTTTATTTTCATGAATAGGACACAAGAAGCCCGTCTGCTGATCAATAATAGTCTCGCGCGGTCCGCCAGAATCGGGTGCAACAACAGGACGACCGAGGAACATTGCTTCGAGTGGGACAATCCCAAAGTGCTCATTTTCAGGGGTGTATATTACAGCGGTACTAGCCGCAATAAGTAAACATTTAAGATTGGATGGGACTGATCGCAGTAAAACGGCTTGTTCTGCAATCTAAAGACATTTTTGCAAGAAATGGGTAGATAGTGGCCGATTCGGCTAAATATATATTGATATATACTGTTTTCATCTAATTGATCAACGAACCTCCAATTCTTCAACCAAATGAGTGAGCTCATTAAAATACTCCACATTTTCAAGAATACGAGAATCATATCCTCCCATGTGGACAATCAAAACGTCTGAATGGGACACAGACGGATTGTGAATCAAACTGGACCAGTGATTCTTTAAAAAAGCTGCACGAGAAAAGAGATGACATTTACCAAACCGATTACCTCGGAGTTTGTTATGTCTCACGCACTGAAAAGCAGTTAAACGCAATTGCAGACGACCACATTTTTAAGCAAAAAACACCACATTGGAGAAAGTGGATGTAACAACTAAGCTTTCGATAAATGTCATGCACTGCAAATTCAACAACTTCCTTAATTTTTAACTGAAAGTGTTGGTATTTATATTAGACAACTAAAAAAACTATAACGTGTGACAAAGAAAAACATAACTTGAAACAACTACATATATGTTATCTGAGAAAATCAAAGAAGTATGAATAAACGACATAACATAACATAGGAAGTTTGTTGAAATTCAGAAAAATAGACGAGCGTCAAAAAATGCATTAATTCGGTAATAAATCAATGCAAATAAAAGCAACTTTATCCTAACTGCGCACCGAAAGACTCGAAGGCAAGAGCGACATTCTTTTTCCTTTCGTACCGATTTATAGAAAGAAAAACCAGCTTCGGACAAACTCCAAGAACACTCTTAAGATCGTGTATCGCTAAATCTGCATTCGGAGGGGCATATGATCCGTCCAACGATTTTTCATAGACATTGCTCGGCAAGACCAAGTTTTCGGTATTTGGAACAGGATATAGCACGTGCAATTTACGATCCTTAAGCGCAGGAAAAATCTTCTTAAAAACATCACCTTCAAAAATTTAAATAAACTATGACAACATACGAGTAAATTGGCTGTTCACGACTAAAGTATCAGCCATGCCAGTGGAAAATCCTTCCAGGCGGTCTAAAGGAAACCTGTATATTCTTCGGGCACGAGAATCGTGACGCGACAGAAGCAAATCAGGGAAGTGCCCATAAAATATTGTCTATAAACAAGCTAAGCAATAGGTAACAATTAATCACTTTTAAATTAAATAACTTTAATATAGGTAGTGGGGCAGAGATCTGATCTACGAATACTACGTCCACAACTCCACGACGTGCAAACACAATCCAGAAAGCAGCAAGAATCATCTTTACAAATGCACACAGAGCAATAAATCGACCCATCAAACTCCTCGGGAGCCACTTGAAAACGGTAGTAACTTTAAGGGAACCATTAACAGTCTCTTCAAAAGCATGGCTGGGATCATGAAAATTTGTGACAATTTCAACTTCATAGCCGCAACATTTCGCAGACATTGCTGCATCAATAACAGCGCGCTCAGCCCCGCCAATTCCCAAATCTGGATGTAGAAAAATCACCGACATCACTAGACGAAAACGGCGCGTCAAACTTTATTGAGTAAAACTTTCTCAAAATTTATAAAAGACTTTTAATATAAAAAGACAATAAACCATCGAAACTAAGGGCCACTATCTAAAAATATATAAACAGCAATATGCTTGTTGCTTTCAGCTCACTTGTTCATAATGTCGTTATCATTGATCGATGGCATAGATAACTATTACAATTATCCGGATATAAAAAATAAATTTTTTCCTAGGCCAACTTATTGTATTAAAGCCATGTGTTTTATATTATGCAATTTCGCAATGCAAAACAATTTTTTGAGCCTTCAAAGAGTTTTGTGATCAGTTATCCATTGGTGATATTAACATCTGAAATGAAATCTTCGATACGTAATTTAATGTTATTTGAGTTAAAGCAATAACTTGCGGGCGAATCTTAGGAACACAAAATATTATATAACTGCTGGCTAATGTTCTGGAATTTACAATAATTCTAATCACTTAATGCGCGGTTAACTTGCCTATGAGCGACTTTCATTTTGAATAAGATTCTGGTTTTAAACTACAAATATTTCTAGGATATTTTGAGTTTTAGACAAATGCAAATTCAGAATAAGAGGTATGGGCCATGGACAACCTGTAGAATTCGACAAGCTTGATCCTTGTCCACTTTTTTCCCATGGATATTTGCAACACATCACTGGACCGACAGGAACTAACCCTAATGTGTCCACTGAGTCAGCTCAACTCCCAAGTAATACTACTTAAAACTAGGTCTCATAACCACCCAAGTACAGCAGTTCTATAGGTATTATGAAGTATAATTTCACTAAATTGTCTCACTTTTATGCTTTATTTTCATCGCATGAAAAATTGGATGTGAAATTAGTACAGAGAAACAATAGCTAGACGAAGGTTAATCTTGTCAAATATCTCGAAGTAAAGGACCTAAAACTATACCGAATGCACAGGCAGGACAACGTTGTCCTTTCATCTGCACATGAGTACAGAAAGAGGGCAATGCTAGCAGAGCTCATGAGTGGGGCCGGTAATCTCTCGTGAGTTTGTAAGATTTAGGATATAATGGTGATATTCATTGGCGCGGATATTTTTATTTAAAGACTTCTGTCAAAATCGGATAGCTTCAAACTGAACAACAAAATCTGCAAGTTCAGTCCGATTCTATAGGAATTGGTACCTCCCACAAAGCTTTTACTCTGGCAAAAAGTGCAAAAATATGAATAAATAAAGTGAAGTTTTACAGCAAAGTTGTGGACGTAGGGGTGGGGTGTAAAAGCGTCATGCTAGTAAGGATTGGACGTCATGGCTAATGTTGGTTCTGAATGTCATGACAAAAGTATGGCGAAGGAAATTCGAGCTAATGAATAGTGATTGGAGTGGTAGAATTGTTACAAGTTCCCAATGGTGGAGATGGAACCTCTGGAATTGTGGAGGCTCTTATGATAGTGCCGTGCTTGGTAAGCGAAGTGGCTTCAGGAATGCTGATCTCGTGACCGAATATGTCAACACCCCAACTAACTAAAAAAACAAACAACGAAAAATGAGTAACGGCTTACCAGAAATGAAAAACACGATGTTAGACATTCATATCCGGGCACATTACCCCAAACAAACTATTGCTTCAATTATCTGTGTCTATGTCGAAAAGATAACAATGATCCAAGGAATCACACAGATGGTTTCGAACACAACACAACAAAACTTGTACAAATGATTTGAGAGAGTGCAGCACAATCTAACATTTACCAAATTTATTTCGACCGAAAGAAAACCGAGGAAGGCGCAGGTCGATGAATATGGCACACACTGTGACAGTAAAAGTATTCAACCAACACAACCGTGTCATTTGAAAAAACCTAAGTAAAGCATGCAAGCAATGCATCCCAATACGGGTTTGTAGAGAAGTAAACTGCGATTTAAGTAAAAGGAAGGACTAACCCTGCTCCTCCAAATGCTCCCGTATAGCACACAGCCAGTCGTTCAATGGGCCACTGTCCTCAAGCTCCTCTGCATTCACGAAAAAAAGGGGGTCAAAAGCAGCTATTTCGAAGACTGCCTCAAGTTCTCGTTCACCACAGAGCCTTGACACCAGATGTAAAGTCGCCATTTGTTTTTCGAAACCCTCTGTAGTCATCACCTGGTTGCAAAGGCTCCACTGACGTGAGATTGTGGGCGAAACACGATCGCTTTCCGTCTCATTACCGTTATCAGTTAAGTGCATCGTTGAGGGAAGAAGACCTGTGGAGGCAGACCTTCGAGGTCCAGCTGTGCGTTTGGACAAAAAGTATGACCATTCTTCGAGTGTAAAGGCTTCGGAAGAGAGAAAAATTGCCCGGCGTACGGGTTCGTCGTCAAGTATCTCCATTGACTAAAAGAAATATGAAGGAATGAAATGGTGTAGCTGACGCTGGTTAGAAAAGAAGCCTTTTTTCCGGTAACGTCTAGTGTGTAAATTAAAAACAGATTAGACTCTAATTCGTCTCAGCTATAATAAGCATACAAAAATCCACATTTCGCAAGAAACGCGCCGACACCCAACTGTCATCTCAAAGTTTAACAGTTCGACTAAGCTTGTTCGCCGCTAGCGTGCTGCATGACTCCCCACTTTAGGATCGGCTTTTAAAGTGCTAGAGAAGCCTTAGAATTTAGGGAAGCTGCAAAATCTGGGACTGGGGTATTCTGCAACCCAGAGAGCAATATTGCGCAGGCGTTAAAATTTTTAAATGGTTTTCAAGCATCGATATAAAAAAAAAACGATTAAACTTTAAGGAACTCAGTAAACACACCGGTTCCACTTTTATTACGAGATCTTGTTTCGACAGTGGTCCCCCACCGACTGCCGATGAAGACTGTCGCAATCTCCTTAGCACGGAGTCTGTTTGTGCGGCTGCGTTAGCTGTGATTTCTGGATTATCAGAAGACTGGAAAAAAGGGAAAGCATGTACAGACTATTTAACGCGATACAAGTAATCCACAAAGGGTATCAGCAGTTTTTTAACTGTATTTGCCAATGTGCGGCAATGGGCGGAATGAACAACCGACAGTTGATTTCTTAACATTCCATTTAACATAAAGTGTCTCAATAGAGCTCTATAAATAATCCGCATAATACACCATAATAAAAAAATCAACATTACACCCGGACAGGACTTAATCTTACTTTCACTCGCTCACAGTTGAATATCGTTGTTGTAACATTTTGGTGTACTGCTACCCCAAATAACGCCTTGCAGGAACAAGAGTTAATCTCAGTGAGTAGTTAAAGTACAGGTAACATGCAATAATATGGCCTTAGACTTTTGATGATATTCGTTGTCACTTCAGGATTTTCAAGCTTTGCAGAACACATCTACCTCTTTGTACACGACACCGAGCAATCCGACCTGTCATGTAACCGATAAAACGACCAGAAAATAACAAAATAATTCATATTTGAAACGTTCGAAATCTTACCAACAATCCAAGAAAGTTGCACTAAATTATTTGCATACAGCCCAAACACCCACATTTGTCGACAATCAACGAGGTAGACAATGACCACATGGGACCAACGACGGACAGTATTTCTGTTCATATTTGATGCACATGCGTTTAATGCCCGTAAATGAATAATTCGTGCAAAATACGACAGCTGGGTACATTCTAAGACAGTAGCAACTCTCAGCGAGACCAGTATATCCCGCAGAATAAAGATCTACAATCCCAAGATGAAGCCCGCTTTAGAAATCAAAAGTTTGAACTTTCAATTTGCAAAGTAAAGTAGCGTCTAGAATCTCTGTGGACGGGTGCTCTAGATACCTCGGTAATTCACCCCCTCCAATAATCGCCGTGTCTATTCCACCAGCCTCCTCTGATTGTTCTCAATGTTTGTGTGGACACATCGGAGCATCCATCTGGTTCTGCGTCCCCCGCACACACGACCTTGTACATGAACACACACGCACGATGCAGCTTGGTTGAGGGATCGAGAAAACGGTTGTTTTCGCTGTCAGTCTTATTCACAGTGGGCATTTGTGCAGTGTAGCCAGACAACCTACCAATGCAGATCGATCTTTTGACTTAACAAGTCGGGCGTAAAGACGTTGGTTACGCAATTCACAGAAGTAAAGTTGTGCAACTTCCTGCTTTGGAGAGGCGTTCAGTGTCTAAAAACGAAAAAAGGAAATGTTCAGGTCTGTATCTTGCGTAAAAACGCTTTAAAATGAGATTATTTTGTCAATTGACTACGAAAGAAAAACGGCACGGCGTCGCGACATCATGCTTTATTAATGGTGAGTGTCGGGTCCACAGTGTCTTAGGAGGACACTTGAGATTACAAAAGAAGCTTGGATTTGGCATAAGCGGACCCCAATGCAAAGCTCGGAGTTACAGCAGCTTTTGGATGAAAGCATCTCTGCTTGCCGACCAAAAACACCAATACTACACTTCTACTGCTACCAGTTCACACCGAATTCCTTTCGTTACAAATTATACACCATCGCGTTTTACTATGGAGTTGTTGATGGTTCGCTAAATCTAACAACCCGCAATTTAGTGACAGATTTAACGAGGCTCATTATTACACGAGATCTTGGAAACGCATTTCTTTGGTTCACCAGAACGTTGCAAACCGTCTCATCAAGAATCCTGATAAATACTACGTTCTAGTTACAGTGACCAGTGAAAGCAGATTGAGAGGAATGTCAAACCTCTCTATTATCTCCATATTATTTTGCAGAAAAATAATTCAATCTATACCATTTTACATCTTGAGAATCGAGTTGACGTTAATTCAATATATTTTGATCCTAACAAAGGACGCGTTCGGGTCTACGAGGTAAATACGGTTGAGGCACCCATCAAGTATTTGTGTGTTGAGTGTCACTTGGCCGCTTGCAGTGCTTCGCTAAGTTGGGGGGCGGGGGAAGAGTTAAAACAGCATAATAACCCAAAAATTGAATAGACATGAAAATATGAAAAAAAGTACTCTGATCCAAAGAAGTCCCTGACGAACGGATTTGTGAGCAGAATCCGGCTGTGCCGACATGCGGAAACAGATTGGACCAAAGAGTGGTAGGATGTCGTCATTAGTTGGAAAGGCGGGAATGCTGAGAAGGGAGTTGACCCCAGACTGAGACGGGTGGTGGCTTGGTGTGAGGAGGAACTCCAGGGCATGGGCGCTTACACCACTGCTGAGGTCTGACAGCCTCGCTGAATAGCGTGCAACGAGGGTGAAGCAGCAATCGGCAATCTGGCTAGAGAAAACAACACCGAATCCTAATAGAGCCTGCAGTTTATAGGACAGAAAACGAGACCACATTACGCTATGTGGAGGCTATAAAACATGTGGAAAGAATAAAATGGGCCACTCATTGATACTTGCCAGACAAGGTCAAAAGGGAAAAACACATAAAGGAGTAGGTGGTAAAACTAGAATAACGCTTAGAGGGACCTGGGTGTCAGAAATAAGCACTAACATGGTCGCGGTTGAAATTGTGAATCCTGTTTATTCAACACAGGGATCCCACCGTCGCAGCATGTCGCCAGCCGCACGAATCCCCAACTCCCCCCTCATTAGCACGAATATTTATCTTGGAGTGTCCCCGCACATAGGTCTCGACGTTAGCGCATGTATGACTCACACATCCGAGCTATACATACAAACGCGAAAACACTACATAACGACACGAACGTGGTTGACCTCTGAAGTAAACGCTTGTGTCCGTCCTCTCCGGCCTTTTCCTTCATCGCGGGTATCGGGCAGGCGTAATCGGGCCAGGGTTAATTCCGTGGCCCCGACGCGGTTCAGGACCACATGCTGGAGCCCACAACAAACTTTTCTCACACAGCATTATGCTGAAACCGTGGCCTCAAATTATTGAATGTGAACAAGCGCACTCTTGGTGACCAGTAGTCTTGAAACGTGCATTTTCTCAGGAGGCGTTTCAATATATAGGTACAGTGCTTCTGAGGTATTTGCTCCCAGTATTCCCTAAACTTGAGTCTACATTTGCAAGCCGTGACTGAAATGTCGCGTTACATCCGTTAAATGCAGTCAAGTGTGCGTTTAAGAGGGTCCCGTGATAGCCCAGTGCAAGCCAATTAACGTAATGTAGAATAAGGAGGATGACTTACGAATGTGCTGAAACGGCCCCTCGCTGGCCAGACTTCGAGACCTACAGTAGTGAAATAAGTAAGCACCAGTCTCTCCTCTACACAAAACGATGCTCTAGAAGACTTCAGTTAAATGCCAACTAGAATAAAGCTATTTCATGAGAGCACTAAAAGCATGCTTCAAAACAAGGTAGGGCTGTACAGAGCGGTACATAAGTTACAACAATACTTACGTAGCATTCACACAGGTTCAGCATAAGCACCTTGAAATAAGCCCTCAAAAAACGACAAATGAACTAAGTAATTCATTCTTGCCATGTTTACAACCTGACTGAATTGGTCATGACCGCATACAATTAAGATAAAAGTCGTAAATGTTATAAACTAGTCTACGGACTGAGTGAGACATCGAAATAACAGGTATCTGCAACAAATAAACCAAAAAGGAAGTAACGAGTGTTTGAGTTTGAGGAATGAAGGACGAACATGAATTTGGTGAATTTAAGTGAACGATTCAAAAAGGTCCTATTCATAGCAAAATTTACCATTAGAGGCTGATTAACTCCAAATAAAACGCATGGAGAACTACGTCGGAACCCTCGTGTTCTTATGGACGCCATACTCAACGTTCACGGCCTTTTCAACATTAAAAGCAGACTCTAACACTGGGCAGCGAGGTACACGCTCGGTCCAAGTGAAAAACTTTTATGTTCATAATGGCATTAATGACAATAGTACTAAGAATGGATGGTGGTTGGTGCTTGAAAATGAAAAGAACGGAGAAACATATTACTACCTTAGTGTATTCTGGAGTGAGGGTTCCGAGGAAAATTGAATTGCGATTGGCGGCGGAGATAGAGTCTATTTGGGACTTGCGACGCAAAAAGGCACTTCCATTCTGTCCACAAAAAGGTTGAGAACCGTAGACTTCAATTGTGCACTCAAAGTCCGGCCCGATATTCTTACTGAAATGTGAATAGGAAACGGACGAGATGGGCTGCTTCCGTTAACACAACACGCTCTGGTGGCTTTTGCAAAATAACTCGCCTAGGCCTTAAAATCGTAGGGGTTTCTGCTTGATTCACCACTTCCTTCTTCGTTCGTAAATAAAACCAGGCTATAGAGCAGTTGGCCTTCAAGATTTGAGCCAAAATAGCATCTGCACACAGAACCCTCCTTAAAATACGTTTCCCATAGCAACAAAAGATTTTTATTATACTCGGTGACTACTTATACGGGGGGAAAATTGTGCCTGTCTTCTTGAGATATTCGATCACTTATTGAATGGGTACGTTTACATACAGAGGATGAAGCATCAACGAAACAGTCACTAATTCAAGTACAGCAGCCGGTGTAACGTTGTACAATCAAGTGCGAAAAAACATGTTAATGCCAAACCGAGTCAGCATCAACCAAAACATTAAACAAGAGTACATTCTACAACTTGTCGGCTATGCAGTGGCAGCGTTTATAAAATCGAAAGGTGGATGAAGAAGGTTCACTCAAACTCATACTCGAAGTTGCAAACATTAAATCGGGGATTCGATTTAGATGATTGAAGCGAAGAAAATCACTACACAGACTATTAATTTCATCAGAGTGTTCTCGCAAATGTAATGTTTACTACAGTATAGTACATTACAGCAAGAAAAGGCACTTTTAAGTCAACAAAAGAGCGTAACTGCAAATTAGATTTGCTTAAAAGTGTTAATTGCAATAAAGGGAATTAGGCTGCTGTGTGCGACAAATTGACATCTACGAAGGCCACTCATTTGTTCAAAACAACATTGTCCAACAAAACGGGTGATCCCACCATTTCACTAACAGTGGAAAAGCGCACCATTTCAGAAAAGTGATTTACACTACGTGACATCATCTATTTTTAATTGCCCTTGAGCAATGGAACTGTTTTATTCATGTGCAATATAAAAGCAAATTGTTACAAATGAGAAAAGTGGGTTACCACCTCTAGCTACTCATGCGGTCCCGTAATTATCACTGATTTGAAAAGTGAACGTTTTAGACACCAATTTCAATTTCAAACGGAACTCTTCACACGAGGTAACGTCCGAAGTAAAACTATCGGTACTTTCACATACTTGGTAGCATGTTTGATATGAAATTGACTTTAAGTATTTCAATTTTTAGCCAGTTTCGGACATGTTTGAGAATACATTATAGCCAGACAGAAAGAATGTTAATTTCAACTATCCACTTCCGAATATTTCCTTGCAAAGTTTAACAGTATGCAAGAATCGGAAGATCGCTAAATGGACGCTTTGACTTACTAAATTTTTAGTAGTTACTTTTGATTAGACCAAAGGAAATAGTAAATTTGAAGACCACCTGGAAGGACGAAGATGTGCCAGACAATTAACGCATTGTAAGAACAATAACCCATTTCAGACTAAGGGGGTTTGTTGGGAGCCTTTATTGACTTGGCGTTCAGGGAACAAAGTGGTTGCAACTTACAAGGTGAGAACATCGTCAAATTCAAGGTCCGCAGATCCTGGAAACACATCACAAAGAAGACGCGTCTCCCTTACTTGATCAGCAACACGGACGATGCAGAATGCTGAGTAGGCCTCCCCTGCCACATCACCACCGGTTAATGCTCCCGCGGTTGCCATAGAAATGACCGCAGACAGTGGTCGCTGTCGGCTCAAGGTTGCGGAGGAATAACCACTGGGAGCAGGTGAAGAACTCAGATAGCCTGGGTCCAGCACCTGAGCAAGTGTCACGGATGAATTCGGTGTGAGTGTGGTGTCCTTCCACAGAAGAGGAATTCGTAGATCTGCATTACGGAATCGTGTAATGGTCAGTTAAATGACGAGACACCATTCACAACCACAAAGTGGGCCGAGTACATGCAACCGCGACAGCATGGGTAGCTACACTCATCACAGCTCAAGACGAAGGCTGAGGGATTTAAAATTTCCAAAGTAACAAGTGAACGAAACCATCTAGCTGCTTATATGCAAGAATGTTGGTGAATTGGACTTGTTGCGAAACAAGCCTTTAAATATTGTAAACTACGCTTGACGTTTAAAAAAATAGTAAATGGAAAACTAAACATCAACACCTACAAAGGCAAAACATTAGACGACTGTTTACTTACTTGAGACTTATTATACTTTTAATTATAAATAATGGGGAAAAAATTTTCTGGGATCACAAGCGCCAACAAAGCTATGAGAAATGTGGCAACCGCGTTTAGTTAGGTTGGCTTTTATTTGCATGGAAGTATAAAGAGTGCCAAAGAAATAGGTGAATAAGGACCTGCACATATCTAAGCACACAAATTTCTGTGTACTTGAAGTAACTGGGAGGTTATATCATAGTAAAAACAATAAACTGTGTACTCGCAGATGTAATTAAACAATACCCGACAGACAGAGCGTTGCCTTCCCGGTACAAAAATGATTGGTGGAATTTGAGAGGAGAGAAGGGACTTGACCCCGGGCAGCAGCATTGGCTTCACTTGTCTTTTCCCTTTGTAGCTGCTGCATCGAAACAACAAGACGCGCATTGCTTACGAGGATGGTTTTGGCCGCGTCGAGTCGCTGGATATTATTCGCTGCCATGGCCAAAATTCGCGAAGCCCCCTCTCGCAGCTTCAGGTTCCTTTCAATATCTTCCTGAAGCTTAGGATCCTGCGAAAGTAATAGCGACGATTTTTGAATAACATAAGTACTCAAACTTTCGTCTGTTTTGAGCAAGTGCACAGGAAGAAATACCAAATATCTATTGAAAAATAGTAAAACTTTGGTATCCACAGGCAGAGGCAGCGAAAATTGACAAAATTGTTGATCTCGAACCTAAAGCAATGTTCTTTATTCAGACCTAAAATATATAGCCTATAAGAAGGCTAAAATAAAGTATTCTGGATTAACCACTTTCCCCGATTGGCACTACATAAATCAAAAAGGGATTCTTCTAAACGCTGAAATTCAGATAGGAAAAAGAGGCAACCTTGCCAGGAAACCAGCAATGTGGCCGAAATTTCACATATTGCATTTTGCTCCACTTTAACTCGGCATAAGTTTTTTTGGTTTTGCTGTGTTTTAGATCATCCATTGATTTGTTGAAAAACAAATACTAATTAAGTAAACGACTAAAACATGAAGGTCGACAAAATGAGATACTTATGTATTGGACACTCGAATAATCTAACACGAATGTATACATCTGCTTTCTTAAAACGGCCGATCATTTGACCAAAAGCAGCGTGCTGAGAACTATACCAGACTTTACGCTGATCCAGTGGTGGCTCGTATTAATTCAAGACCAAACTCAAAGTTTATTCATATCCTGGTTCCTAGATGGGCCACATGGCTCCCACCTTTGGTGCATTCCACGATGTCCATCGATGCTATCGCACTATAAACACAGACCTACAAGTACGGCAGAACGAATATGACCCAATATACGGTTGAGCTACCATCGTACTTAGCCACCTGATTCTTCTGAAAGCCCAGTGTCGAGCCACGAGAGCCTCAGTAAGTCGGGTACCTCGATGTGGGTTCGAGTTCCAATCTGAGGCCTCATGGACCACACAAGGGTAACTCGCTTTGCAAAAACATCACTTATTTTGACAAAGATGCTGGTCCGAAAAACCGTACACATAATTTTAAACAGATTAGGAAAACAGCAGTTTATGATAGTTAGGAAATCTAGTAAAATCTCGTAAAAGGAAGTTTGGCCCAAGATGCACATTAGAAAATATCCCAAACAAACCTTTGTGAAGGGCCGGTAGCTAAGACACATTGTTTACACTAGCGAGTGTGCATGCTTTAGAAAATCCAGGAGTCCAGATACAATATGCCTTCCACTTCAGATATCAAAAGTGGATTTCAGAACAGGATCAAAATTATGTTAACAATGAAACTGAAAAAAAGCTTAGGCTACAACTTGCATAAGAGGTGTTTCTCCTAGATTTCAATACCAACTGACAAACAACAATAGGAGCCATCAGATAGAAAAAAGCAGACACCAGCATACTGTGTGGTCACCAATTTAAACCGCATAGCCCATTTAATATAATCAAAGATTGAAACCACACGAATCAGAAAAAAAATTCTTCTTTCTATAATACGACTTACAGCATGCAACGTTTATTAGAAATTGTGAAAAAGCAACCTGAAGCTAATCACGAATGAAACAAAAGAAACCTTACAAAACGCCCCATAACGTTTCATTTGCATTTAGAAGACTATAGACCATGGGTTTAAATCATGCCTTCTGCAAACAAAACTAACAAAATTAATGGTATTAAGATAGGGCGCAAGACAGACCACAAGAATAATTTTTTTGGACAAACTATCTAGATTGAGTTTATTTAGCATCGATTATGCCATATTGGAATTACACTATAATGTGCGGCTAAAATGTCTTGAAAGATTTACGGCGAAGTCAAAATTGAAAGGGCGAGATCACATACAAACAACTTTAGCTACATCAATTGAGGGAGACAGGACCGGCCGAAATATGAACACGGTGGCGAGGCACATTTAAGGCGGACCAACAGGAAAGGTGGTAAAAGTCAAATGATAAATGTTGAAAAATTGTGCGATACCCATCTATGAATTCGTCAAAAAACTAAAGTAATTCAAAACAAATACATGCACCATAGGGAAATTATATGAAAAGGTCAACAAGGTATGCTTTCCTTGGTACGAAAGAATTATCTATTTATTAAAAAAGAAAGAATATAGCAAATATAGGAGAAAAACCAACTTTGCTCATGGTATTCTGTCGAGGAAGTTTAGTCATTTCGACAAGAAAGTCAGGAGTAGAGAGTTGGGATCGACAAAAAAGCCGTAGGCTAAATTTAAATTTAGCAGGACGGTTAAAGAATACGGCGCCAAACTCATTCAAGACTTAAAACTTCGTTTGCTCAACTGAATTTCATAAGCAATTTTATAATGCTCTATAATTTTTACTATTAACACAAAGTATTTGAAAGCAGTATATGCAAGCAATTTTTTTGTTTCCAAAGAAAATTATTTAAAAATGGGAAACAGTAATGCAACTCGCAGTCCAAAATACCACATTTAGTTAATTCTAGTTTAGACACAAGTGGATTTTAATTCTGCTAAATTCCAAAGAACGCTTTAGCTTGGGCGTTTGTTAAGTTGATTTGAGGAACTACATATCAAACATTTAATTGAAACTTCTCAAAATCTTTTTTTTGTGTTTGCGGGTGTTTTGAATCTAAAGAAAGGATAATGTTGAACTTAAATTTAACTCATTTTATTTAATTCTAGTTGTAATACATGGAATATCGTTTCAACGAAAATCTCTACAAATCATTTCTCTCAAGTGCATTGTCGTGTTGTAACTTTGAAAAAAGTGAGAGCGGGAAGCCTGATTTCACTTACTAGAGTGTCACAACAAATTGTAAGTCATAGTTGATTGTCCCCTTAATGTTCAATCCCAGGACCAAATATCCGAAAATCATCGATGAGGACTGATTAATTCCCTTTTTAAAACACAGAACATCAATGTATGCGGAAGCTAGCCAAGCTTATAAATTGCTGCCAGTTTAATGTTTCTTTTCAGTTAAAGTTAATTGACAAATATTCAAAATTGTACGGTATTTTTTTTTTGGTACTATTAGAGAAGTTAGGGGTCTCGCACTTACTTAAGAGGCATGTGCACGTGGTTTCACTTTTCAAGTCTTTTTTATCTCGTTGTCATTATGAAAATACGAATCTTTTTTCACCCATTTTTTTCAGTATAGCGATAAGTGCTTTGGCAGGGGAAGGACAAAAACGATTATATTGCCAAACAATGATAACGAGCTTGGTGTGAAATTGTGGGGACTAAATCTATAAAAATTGCCTACTTTGATACTCTACTGGCTCCTTTAAATTGACCGCACGATTTACTTTACTCACGGCAACCCATTCATAATTGAAATGTTTTCAAGGGCAAAATAACGTCAAAATGCCCTTAGTACAAATCATTAGGGGGTTATTTCGGCACATCGTCTAAATAGTATAACACATAATTTAACTCGGATTTTTATCTCTCACATTGAATTGTAAATTAAATATTTGTAAAGAAAGTCAACTCAGTCAAAAATCTTGATAACTGGCTTGTCACGTATCTTGGGAATCGGTCATGAAGTCTTTAGCCAAAGTGAATACATAACTAGTGGGACGGGAGCAACGGGTCTAATGATGGTTCTTTAGACAACGTCGATTTAAATCTCTTTACGTTTACAAAAATGTCGTTGTTAGTGTGTGGTTTAAAAATACCTAAAACCAGTTTTTATTGCCGACTTTAAAGTGACAGCTAAATTTGAGTATAATTTCTCATGTGAGACTCAACGGCACCATTTGCAAGCGTCAGTGATAAAATACAAATTTTAATTTTGCATTTAAAAATAAGGAAACAGATAATTTCATTTCTGTTAGAAGCTAATTCTTCCAAAATTCCCTTATAAGCTACCAATGAACAAAATTAATATGATTCTTTTATTTCCTTTGCTGGCGCTTCTTTCTTCGCTGAAAAGCAATGGCCAGAACTTACATTTGCACTTAAACCACGCTCCAATCAAACAAAGTTTTTGCGAGCATAAATTGGTGTTTTTATTAAAACAAACAGTTAATATCGGAAATGATATTACTTAAGACTGGATTATGGATCCAAAACGTAGGAAATTTTATAAGTTGTGATCCAATATTTTTGCATATTTGTGATGATTGTTATACGATAAAAAAGGTGAACCTGATCTTTGCAGTTTTTATTGTGCAAATACTACAAATTACAAACTTTAATTCTAACTAAGGTACGTAATACCAACTACATATTGCAGATTCTATCATGTTATTGTTTGCGGAATCGTAATTCCAACTAATTTGTCTCATGAAAGCAGACGTTGTTTGTGTACTTGCGCAAAATGTTGTTTTGGTCATTACAATATTAACTAATGCATCGATGTGGAATCAGTTTAGCTTATAATAAAATCAGTCTATACTATTAAGGACGTAAGTGACTTAACTCGAGAAAATAGTTGGTACAGTAGCTTAGCCAAATAGGTTCACAATCAATCATAAGCATCTATAGAAATAGTAGTGGCAGTAGTAGAAGCAGTGTTTTTGACCTTATATTCCAACGGTCACGATTCCAGTGTTCGGAAATGAGAGATTTCTCTAAAAAACATTACTGTACTGCAATCGGTGCCTGGAAAAAACTTTTGATCTTGTCTGGTAACTGTATATCTTTTGAGAAACACGATTTAATAAAAAGGAAGGTTTATAAGCTAAAACCCGTGTTTTCGCAGCACATGGTGTGGTTGATATAGGGGCTATTTAGTTTAATGCTTTTAATCCAATCCGATCACACAAACTTTAGCTTGATGTACACCAAATAGGGATCCACAGATAGGTATGGTAAAGCTAACAAATGGCAGTAATATGTAAGGAATCATGATCATGTTATTGTTTAACAAAAGTCGGATAAAACATGATTAAAAACAGGAACATGTTATTTTTTCAATTCGGCGCAGCCGAATTAACCAAAGTGCAACTATTTCTTTGGGATACTAACAGATAATTATGTTTAACTGTCATTTATTTTCGATTTCAACACAACATGGAGATACACTGGCTCGAATGATCTGTTTCAGAGATTTTGGAGGACTCAGTTGACTCTCAAATACTGGGCAGGTGACTTCCTAAGTAAAAATAGCAGGTGTTTGCACATTTTATCAGCACATCAATACGACATTTCCAAAAACAGTATACATGCATGTGAGTAGTGATGAAGACCATTGATTTAAATTACAATCACATAGAAGCGGATGCAGGACGAGGATATAAATTAGGATAAAACTCTTTTACATAACGGTTAGTTGTTCCTCTTTGTGTAAACAGTTAAGTAATCGAAACCTTTGTTTTGAGAAAAACCTTTTTTCTCTGTGTTAGTGCAGAAACATTTCTACAATCAGCGTAGTATTACATCTAATGAGTTTTTTTAAGAAATTAATAAAAATCTACTTAACACACAAGTAAGAAATGTTTGCACGTCACTTAGTAGATTTGCAATCAATATAGAAACTGAGCAATCTGAATATCCACATTTAGGGTTAAATGCTCTCACTTGGACTGGAAATACCATTTTTTTTAAAGTAATATGCAGCTAATATAAAAAAAAGAATAAGAAAACGAAGATAAAAGAAATTTTGAGACAGCTACGCAGCACTAGAGTACTCTTTGCCAATTGGTTGGCAACAATTTAAGGTCATTACTTAGCTTTAACGTAAGCTCCACGCGCAGAAGCAAGCACACGGTATACAAGCACACCTTCGAGAGAACGTAACGGGTGAAGGCTTATCCACTGGAATTTGTAACTCGGTAAGAACTGTTTTGGGTAAGCAAAAATGCTAAAATTTTGCGAAACCGTCTTTGACGATGGTTAGCTTTGAGGTCAGAAGAATTTTCCAGTGGACGAAAACTTTTGAAAATAATGTATATCGAATGTAGATAGTTACATAACTGGCTGCAATTATTTTTGATTGTTAGATTAGAAATCTTTGTTTGTACCCCAGCGTAAATAGATTATGTGAACTATTGGCGAATGAACGACCAACTCAGGACTTAACATAAGTTATTCTCAACTGATAACGAAGCCCCACTTGGAATACTCTTGACAGCGTAGGGTTGGATTATGGAGCCTAGCATTGGCCACTGCCTTAGTCTGCACGGCTCGGTTTAGGTTAATTCTACGCAGACGCCCCCAGCAAGGCTCGAATTAAGATGTGATTTGACTCAAAAACAATTGGGATTAGGAATGCTAGCACTACCCCTGTGTCAAGGAAATCAAATGAAATGTTGGATGTGAATTGTCTGAATTTCTTAAAGAGCCTAATGTTAAAGATCATATCGGAAGAAAAGATACTGAAGTACAATTAAAAAATTGCAGAATTTTATAATCTAAAGTCAAACGAAATATCTTTGTGACATAATGAGTAGCTGTCTTGTTTAAAATCTGGTTACGAAGCAGAATAAGATCCTTCAATTTAGATTTTGCAGTGGTCTCATCTAAGCTCCAATTTTCATCTACTTGCCGATACTACTTTCTATCGGTCAAGCGATGCAGAACCTTTTCTCTGAATTCTCCCCAACCATCAAATTCTCCAATTTTATGCTTATGTCCAAAATGGAAAATGTCATTTTAATCAATTAACGTCCCTCATAGTGTAGTAGATATCTTAAAATAACTAGACAAAAACATGATATCCAGAATGATCGAACGATAATTTACGCGTTGATGAAATACAGAAAAGTTGTATGCCCTCCTTACTGACTATCAACTTTAATTTGTTCTCACTTGTAGTTTAACAGATCTCTTAAGCACGTTACATTAGGCATTGTGTTCCAACACAGTCATCACTAAAAACAACTAGTTTATCAATGTGGAACACGCACAGCTGTTTGATGATGTAAATAAATTGACTGACTGTCATTTTCCAATACATTTTTCCATGTCGTTATCATCGCCAGTTATCTTAATCCAATGTAATGTAGTCAACTGAGACAAGCAAAAATTAGTTTGGGTATCTATTAGAACAGTGATAATAGTAAAGCGATTGATCACCAATGAATGGTAATAGAGTAAATTTTTCTTGTAGATACGTCTGACGCCATGGTTCCGTTCACTCCATGCGGTTTGCAGACAGAGGATTTTCGTCAGTATCGCACAGAGTCCGCCCTTTATCCAAAGACTTTTGAGGCATATTCTACTCCAATGTTTACATCAGACTGTGTAGCGGGTCGTTTCGATAATTACCACCCCCAGCTGCTTCCAACGGAGGGGAATTACTACGGACAAAGTCCCACAAATTGCACATCCTATTTCATGAGAACGGCGCCATTATTTCCCTTGGAGTCAAGCGTTCAACTGTGCACAATGAGAGGCGATGTGGGTGAACCACATACCAGTCACTGCTACGGCAATGCAGTGCAAGAGACAAAGTAAGAGACTGTCTGTTTTGACTCATGCCATTCATGATTCGAGTTTATGCATCGCTTAGAAAGAACTAGCTTGACTTTGGCAAAAATAGCAACGTGGAGCAGCACATTAGCTACTCTTTTAGAACTGCGTTACCGAATTCAGTTGTGGCTCACTCAAGGAGTTATGCGTTGGACCGAGCTGTAGGGTATGTGCAACCGAAAAAAGAACGAAAATTTTGTGCATTTGTTAACTACAATGTGGTCTTTCGATTTGTACCGACTTTGCGAGGAGTACAGGAGGTATTGGTACACATGGTATTGGTTGGAGGCAAAGGTTTGTCTATTAATGGTAAAACATTGAATTACAATTGCTTGACCTGTATTTTAACGGACACTCAAAGTAAGTAGTTGGAACAGTAACTGAGGCCAGTGTTTGCCATTTGCGTAACACGTGAGGCATAGCAGCTGATGGGCCTCTATTAGTATACGGTAGTGACATCACTTTATACAAAGTGCATTAGGAATAATTTTTTTGTAAAACCAAAAGGACAATTATTAAGTGTGATTTCATGTGCTATTTGCGCACTAGTATTTGCTGTGTGGAGTTGTGTATTACGGTACTTAAGTTGTATTCCCGGTGTATTGTTAAAATAATGTATTTCGGGCATAATATACTGGATTCCCTCTATTTTGATTAGTCTGGGACGGAGCAAAATTAATGTGAGCCAGCCCTAGCATGCAAAATGTTTTCAAATCGATTTCAACAGCATTTTCGTTGAATATATAGCAAAACACTTGATTAAATTTTACTGCTCTAATGTTCAAATTTTATGTCAGTTAAAAAAAGACAGAAATTATTTTGATCCTAAAATACAAGCGACATCCTTCAAATCCTGTTAGGATGATGACCCTAAACGATAATTTTAAAATAGCAAAGAAGCTGAGGCGTATACAACAACGCATGCTCAACTTATGCAAAAAATTGTGGAATAGCAGGGAGTTAACCTGAATTCAGGGTACAAGGAAAAAAATGGAACTTAACTATGTCTTTTTGAAAAAATCCACTTTTTAAATTACACAGTTGGGCAACCATTTAAAAAAATGATTTTTGAAATTGTATCACTTTTTAACAGATTAACAAACCTGCTTTAATCAGTTGTTGATATCAGACAAAGTACATGCCTAACGTTAGCTAAAGCTGTTTTCAACATCGTAAATCCACTGAGAAGCTCGTGGGTAAATTAGGCTCCAGGAATGCATACAACGCTCCTATGCTTGATGTAAAGGCATGCACTATAACGCGACAAATTGCGGATATTTAAGACAAACAATGACGATTGTGGGTGGATTCCACATTACTCAAATACAGGCAACCTCAAATAAGAAAAACAAAATTAGCACTCAATAACTTGTGTTAGACGTAGCGATTGGAACAGGGTTCCTAGTCTTTTCCAAAATTCCTTCCCTGGGACCACAGATAGTTGAGCTTGGCAGTCTGCATTGGTAGATGTGGCTACACTTTACTACTACTCTTCCCAATCTAGTTAACTGATTACAAATCATGCGGTGCTTTTAAAAAAAGCTTCTAACTGAATTTGATGCAGAAATGTCTACCGGTGATTTAAGACGGAAGTGTACAAAAGGTTCTGCTGCGTGAATGTCAATGTCTATAGAGTGGATTAGTAAAAATCCGGTAAATTACCTTAAAAGAATTGCACTTAATTCTAGGGGCTATCGATTATGAGTTTATGGAAATTGCTCAAGGAAAATACAATGCTTGTAGCGTTCAAATTTATTCCATATGATTTGACGATATTCCGTTACTCAAACCCAAATAAAAGCTCGATTTTGATTTTTGACAGCTCATGGCCGTGAATACCCATAACCTAAACAACAGGCAGTGTGCGGTTTCACTATGACTGCTTTGAAACTTGGAATATAAAGAGATTCTGATGGACACTGTTTTGGAATGTCCAACCGGTCGATTAGTAAGTGTCTAATTGAGTAAACATGAGGTACATGCGGAAGTAGAGGCGTCATAAAACACGCAACAAATACGATATCTCATTTTCTACGCAATTCATTGCACAAGTATTTTAAATGGCAAGTTCCGTGGCATGCGATCGTCTATTTTATGAGCCAACCAGGTCCACAACTTATGATTTTATGAACTTTTCATCTTGTCATAAGATTCAAATAACAAATTAACCTTAAATTCTTTAAAAGGGAGCAGTTTATTAATTGATGAATGCTACCGTATAGTTTGAGTACGATTAGATAGGCTGAACAAAGCTTTACTGCAAAAATCGTCCGATACGTTATCACTAAAATGAAATTATTCCCCAAAATGACAACGCAAAACCCCATCACCCCAGAATAACCTAAAAAATCAATGGTTTTTAACTGAAAAAACTTGCCTAATCCATCAATTTTCCTTATTTTGATCAAAACAACTACAAAGAGTTTCTTATGCGTTTTGTATAAGTATTTAAAAGGACACTGACGTGATTACATACACCAAGATTTTGAATATACTGTGATTTTCAAAGGTAATCGGAAAAAAACTGCGTATAACTATGACACTTACCCAATTAGCAAATTATTACTAGTTGTTCAAAAATGATAAAATCTGCCAAGGTCCAAAGCTCTTGTTCTGAAGCCTTGCATTACTGTAATAAGGTGTGCTGATGTCAACGGATTTGGCATAAGTGTGGTGTTGGTTTGATTCCAAAGTATCAAGGAGCCATGTGAAACAAGTTCTAGTTGCAACGAATGGCAAAAAAGATAGGGTAATTTTAAATAATGGGCTTGTCCTTAAGTTTTCGATGTTTGCCTTCTCCGAACCAGTCACCAACGTTCCTCAAAGTGTGAACTTGTCACAGCATCCTGTTCTCTGTACAATTTTGGAGCTGGATACAATCAACCAACAACCACGAAGAACTTGGTGGACTTAGATTACCTTTCGGAGGCCCTGCCAAGCACTACTTCGCCAGACAGCACTGCCAGTGACAGCGAAATGAGCAACTCTACTCTTCTTAGTGAGGAGAACCTCGGTAACTGGCTTTCGGCTGAACAGGCCAACGTTTCACGTGATATCTTAACAAGCCCTCCAAGCACGCTTCAACAACACGTAAGTTATGTGATAATTTGCCTTTCTGACCACAAATCACGCAATTGGAATCACAATAGTTAACGACTTTTTACCTAATATGAACATTGTGGAGAATTAATAAGTTAAATTGAGTGGAAAAATTGGATAAAAGACCTGCGTGTTAGACAAACATACAATCACAGACAGGCCTGTCAATCAACACTGGCCGTTTCCTTCATTTTATTAGTGTGCGAATGAAAAGATTTACGTCGAAGCTTCGAATAACCATAACTCTCCCCTTACATCCTGTTTTAGAAGACAAGTTGACAATTAAAGCTTTCATGAACCCTAAATAGGGTGATACGTGTACTTCTTTATGTGCGAACTCCAGCCATGTAGAACGACAAAATTACAGCTCAGATAGCTGTTTTTCCAGATAGGGATTACTTACAAGGTCCATTGGCTTTACTTCTCGTATCTCCAACTAAGCGGGTTATTGGTGTACTGTGACGTGGTGCATTCAGGCCAAGTCACATTGCAGAGTTTTCGATAAGAAATTGTTGAGAAAACTGCAAACTCGTACAGTGTTTGCATTTGTTTAGACTCGGACTGGAGAAACCAGAGCGGAGGCAAGAGGCACAAAGCTATCCTCACAGAAGGCCTTGACACCCTCAGAAAAAGACCTTGAGCGCCGACGCAAAAATAATGAGGCCTCGCGAAAGTCGAGGGCCCAGAAGAAGGATCGATTCTTAATGGATGTGCTCGAGGTCGAACACTTAAGAGTGGAGAATAACAGGCTGAGGAGGTTTCTAGCCGAAGTGGACTCAGCTATCAAAGAGGCAAACGACACCCTCATTGCAAAATTTCAATATCACCTCGCTGGGGCGCCCTCTCCACCATTGTAAATTCTTGTGATTTCGCCGAATGATTATGTTTATTAACTCGCTTTTGCGTTTGAAGCTTTTCCATACTTACATTTGTATCGTAATTCATTCGCTGTTTCTCGCCATCGGATATCGAAAGCCGCTGATCAAGTCCTGACACTCAAAACCTGCATAATTTAGTTCGTGTCATACGCTCCAAGGTTGATTCCGCCTTGCCATCGCATTGCACTAGGATTTTGGGACAAACCGAGGTGTCGCCCAAAGAAAAGACGGGCAGTTATTCCATCAAAAGCCATCTGATTACTTTTCAGCTTTCACGGTGTTTAACTGGAGTTGCCTCGTCTATAAAATCACATGCAAAAAAACCTAATATCCCGTACGACCAACGACGATTCGGTTGGTCGACATCGTTACCACTTGCCCTGACGATTCAAAAGCCAGTAAATCCCAGCAAGAATTAAAATTCTATTAGGGTTACTCTAAAATTACTGCTCACATCCACCACCACACTCGCAAGCACATCTCTTACCCAAGTGTACACCCATTAACTGACTAAACCAAGAAAGTTTTCGAGGGTTGTACGAGTAAATCAACTGTTATTTTACCGTTTTACCTCATCACACCACTATCAGCGTTGTTTTTCAATAGTGCATTAACTTTTAAATCACGCAGCGTTCGCACATTTCTCAGAACGATTAGGCTTTAATCGCGCATCCACCCCTCTCAATTATGAACCACATAACATGCTGGCATTGCAACACAACATCGACCCGCGCATCAACCACGTTCCCCCGGCAAACTTATGATTTCGACACAATTGCACTATGATGGACATCATGTATACCTGTAAAACGCCAGCCCTGCGTGGCACGCATCCGTTCAACAACCAATCAACATTGGCAACGGCTTTCAAAAGTACTTTTACAACCAAAAACGCAAACAAGTCTGCACTATTTACTCCCTAATTATCAGTAATAGTCATTTCTCGTCATTGTAAATTACGTCATCCACGGCTTCGTTCAGCTTGCATACCCCGACATTAAAAACTCGCAATTATGGCTACTCGAAAGTTGTCATCCAAAATCACTTGTCCAAGGACTGAGATGTCTGTTCTTCGCTGCTCATTTCATTGGTTTCCGCAATTCGAGTCGCTCTCTCTGATTCGTCTGACCTGATAGCCGAATCTGAACGATTTTCGCACCCTAAAGACTCGTGACAAGTCGCATTGGCGGACCTTTCCATTCACTCCTTAGTGCTCAGCGCTAAGGTAGGAAAAGACGCATGTTCGCGACTATACCTAAATTCGGAACCGACAGCATCCAATGTCTCCAAAAAAGAGACTCAAATGTTGCAGCTTCGACTCTTTAGGACACCTAACAATAGCAAGCTTGTGTGCACTCAGAACTCCGTAGAAGCTATGCCAAATTGACGAATGCAACCCATGCCCTTAAGAGATGCACGTTACAAGAGAGAACTAACCTCTCACACAGGTTCGTGCAAATTCTGCCCATTCTATTCTACTTACTACATTGTCCCACATTTAATAAAGGGCGTCTTACACAACTTAATTAGCCTCATCACTCTGGTTCCAATTAATCGGCTCCAGGCAACGGTTTTACTGACACAACGTGGCTACCCTACATGCGGCGCAGCATTCAAACCTTGAAACCTCCAACTACGGGTACGCTACTTCTGCACATCTTGTTTCAACTGCTTTACAAGTGCGCACATGCCCCGTCTCTTCACTGAATTCCACCGCATTTTAATTAATGTGCAGACAGCTTCCGCTGTACAGATGCGTCAAATTTATACTATACGTTTCTTCTAAACACATGACTACTTAAGCTGTGATACTTAGATAATTGAGGTGGGGTCAAGGCATTCAAATAATTGCCTGTAGTTTATATCTCACAAACCTGTTCCCTGCTTGAAAATGGTTTCTCCAATTCCAAAAAAGGTCATCACTACCTTGCTGTTTTTGGTGCTTTAATTTGCTTCTAATTCAAAATGTCAATTATTTCCGGGGGCATCCATGAATTTCTGGAGCAAATTCGTTTTTGAGGGAGGGAGTTTACCTGATCGAAGAATTAGACTGGGGTCACATAGAAATCGAAGGAGTAAACGAAATTCCGAGCGTCTCTGATGCAGACATTGAACAAGGGAGTCCCGAGACAATAAAACAAGTGAATGACGATCAAATAATGCCGCCAAACGGTAAAGAAGGATCTCTGAAAGACGAATCGGATAGCTACGCACTTGGAAAAAGTGGGAAGACATTAAGATAATTTAAAAATCTACTTAGAAGCCAGCAGTCATCACTACTGACTACAGATGACGCCAAGTACTAGTTTGCGAACCTACAGAGTAGGACAAGGGACATTTTTAATCAGATTTTTTTCAAAAATGGAGGAATAAATATAAGATAAATGTATGCGCAAATGTGCAACCAACGTGAATTCCTATGAGACATAAGGACTACAACCAAAGTAGCATGCAATTTAGCAGATCCGTAATTTTACGTCAGGCTAGACCCTGATTTTCGGTGTAACAATTATACTTTGGATTACAAGAACTGCTGCCTAACCTGCAAGTCGGCGAACCCGTCTAACTGAAGCCAAGCATGCGTGGCGCTCTGGACATGGCCAAACATAGAAGATCACAAGTCGGGCCGTGTGCTGTCCTAGACGCCTGGCATTCACCTCCGCCACCGAGCAATTCACTGCTGCTCCCAACTGATTTATAACAAGGGGGAAGTAGTCGTATGATCGAAGGTACCTGGATAGGCGCCACAAACAATCCCGCCAAGACAGGGGATATCCTGAGAAGCGGTCGAAGGTGCGGGGGCCTGAAGGGAATTATGGCAAAATTTACCAATTCCTCCGCTACATATACAAAGACACACAATACCCTTCATTTACGCGAGACTGGCAACATGACACAAATTCTTATGAAGCATTTGCAAAACATGCTCTACAAAGCATGAATGCTACATTACAGAAGCTTATGCGAGGAAACACACAAACACTGCGAAAAAATGTCAGAGGCAAATTCGTGCTACCAGTCAACTGCCATTGGGAGCTAAGTGTCCCTGACACGTGACCACTTCCAAGTTCACACTTTTCACTTGAGATGTCGTACTCCATGATCAATTAAGCAACATTGAAATGAACAATTACTGGAACATCAGCTATCGTTTGTAAAGCTTGTGCAACATGACCGCGAGCTGTGTCGTAGAGATGAAGACATGACATAAGCAATCGAAAAAAGTACCACAAATCACGGTTGGAAGAAGAAAATCCAAATTCGGCGTTATCTCCAAACCAAGCCAGTCGACAGCAATGGGATCTGAAACAAAACTTAGAAGGTGCGAAACATGGAACGACACGTTATCAACGCAATTTCAGTGTTCACGCTGCAGTTTATAATACCCTTGGGGTCGGACGGTTGCAAGGCCCTTCACCAGTTAAAAAGAAAACTTCGGTGATTACAAGACACCCAATTAAGGGGACAAAACTCGAACGGGGCTTACGTATAAATTTTGGTTCAGAAGACATAGGGGCTTAGATAAGGCAAAACAATTACGAACGTTTGAAAGATTGCATCTCGTGATTAAAAAGTCCATGCAAAGGTTCGCTTTGTATGCTGTGGCCTACCAAGTTTTGCTTTTAACCTTTCTGTCTTTCTTACGAAACATGATTACACATATCAGGTTCACCAAAATGAGCCCTCAAAGAGTGATAGTAAATCCATGTATAGAGGATCGTGTGGCGACACAGTCATAAAAGATAATTTTCACTGCAATCCGATGGGAGATGATGCAGGTTGTCTTTGACACGCGAAAACAACCATTACCATCACTTTCTTCTATGTTGCTGGTCTCCTTGGAGGCATTAGATCGAAGGCCAAACTTGTGGAGGCCTAAAACCAAAATGCCAATGTTATGGGTGGAATAGATTCCAACAAGGGTACATTCAAACACGATTCACCGTCAAATAAGGCGTTGCGCACTAATAGAAGACGCTCCTTCGAGGTTGCAATACACAAATAGTCGTCATGAAAACGCAGAATGGTAGCATCTAGCCTCCCAGCATGGGTCGCAGCTTTCCTTTTGGAGCGCCAGAAATATGCTTTAGCCGGGCCGCTTTGATCCGAACGTGCGAGATACAGGTTCGCCAAGTCGACTGACACACACGCACCCTGTGGTATCCCCTTCGTTTGCATAAAATATTGCCCTCCCAACTAAAAGAAAAGGCACCCTTCACGAAAATATTACCACCACAAGGTCTGAAATAAAATGCTCTAAACGCAATCGGACTAGCACATAGCCCTTTACAGGGCAAAGAAAACAATAACAACTGAGACTGAGCACCCACTTTTCTCTGCACGGCACCACTTCAACATCATCCCACGACGGCCGTCTCAAGCTTTAGTGTCAATAGTCCACTATTGACCGCGTACACCACCCGCACTATATCAACCAATACATTAATAAGGTTCTACAGATATAAGTTAGATAACGCTTTCCCAATTATGGAAATGCGCGGACACTAAACCGAATGTCACGAGGTCTCAGGCGGCGATTTAACAAGTTCACTACAGCCCAGCAGTGTTATAAACATTGTGCGATTACTACCAACACAAGAAATAACTGATACCATTTATTAAGACCAGGTGAGACAACGAAGAAGCGGCACTATGCTGATTTCACGGAAAAATCTAACTCCATCTTGATTTGTTGTTTTTCATTCAAGAATAAATGACCCACAAATTAACATCGTTCTAGTTACCACGACATAGTCGTAATGACGAATTCTTGAGTTTCACAATCAGGCAGGTTTCATCCACCAATGTACCAACGTGTGTTTACTTATGCAACCCCTGCTGTGCTGTAGCGCTGCTACAAATGACAGTGAGAAAATGTTGATCGAATCGCAAGTTATCAATAAAATGCGCTTAAAAGCATCGCCTTGCTTCCGAAAAACGCACACTTCTACTATTATGGCATAAAAAAGGACACACAAATACTAAAGAACATCTTCTGTGATCTACGTTCAAACGCTTCCGCTGGCGAAATGTACATGAAGGTAGTACTTTCAGAATAAACACACCCACAAAAACCAAATTCATGCAGCCCCAATTAAACACACCATCAAGCGATTTGATCGACACCTTCCTAGTGCTCCCACTAACAATCCTTTAGCACGGTTAACATTGCACATTTAAACATGCGTTGTTCTTGCATCGCTATCATGTTGACTAGTGAAGCTTTACTGACCCGCCTAGAAATGATCTTCTACTGATATTAGACAATACAAATCGGTATTCTCATTTGCCTTGCTGACGCAAAATCAAACTGCATTCATGACCATTCTTCAATGAAGAGAAATTTACCCCCATGGAATTCGGCTCTTCCTGGATCTCTACTAGCACGTAACTAGAAACACCCTGTCACCAACAAGGCCGAAATTTGGTCTAAACCTATGTGACACAACCAACATGCGCATTTTTACAATAAGGGATGCCAGCAGGACCAACACACCTCACCTTTATGATATAACAGCTTAGAAAGCTGGAGAGTTCGGAGATGAGCAACTCTGGACAGAAGGGCATGGTCGAAAAGTCCATCGCCTAAAAAGGTTTAATGATGGACATAACACAGGAGACTTACTGTGTAGTTACATACAGAACGAGCGCAAACTAATATCGCCTAGGCCCACATTGAGTAGAAGAAGGAGCAGCTGTTGCTCGCGTTTAGCGGCCTCATCGAAAAACATACAACAAAACAGTCAAACGCCTTGCAATGAGAAAGGTAAGACTAACTCAAACAGCAGGTTCACCTCTAAAAACCTAAATGAAACTGTGTGAGACTCAAAATCACAAAACGACCATTTTAGCAGAAGTTTTACGTCGCAATGCAGAAGTTAGTGTTACCCAACGATGCTAATCAGGATGTTTCCGAAGCACAGGCCTTACCAATTGAGGGCATTTCAGACTTATCATCTTTGCTAAAAATTTGGACGACGCAATTCAATTGAACGCAGACCCTATTATGTATTGATTAGGCTCCTACGATCCAGCAAAGTGCATTCAAGTTAGCAAATGTGAAAAAACAAATGGATTGATTATGGAAGCAAGTTCAGTACCGTTTTTACAGTCTTCCTAAATACCTCCAGCAGAAGGGTATGGTCAATGTTATTAAAGCAGTCAGCAACATCCACTCGTAAAAGGAAAAACCTGGAAAATAAACAGGAAGAGGGTTAGAAACAATTATTTCAGGTACCACAGTAAATCACAAAGTACAAAATTAAATCGAAGAATTTGTAACCACATGTGTCAACCGCTTCTCGTTACTGAACTACACGTGTGTAACCTTTCGTTGAATGGCTTGGATCCCTACATTGGAAACCAGAAATATTAAAAGTGGTAGAAAGGAAACTTATATTAGTATGCATTTTATGACCTGAGACTCAAACAGTAGCTCTGTGCCTTGCCTTCTAAAGTCTACAAATGATTTGGCTTCAGAAAACTGTCCATTAAAATCCTGGGCATATTTGTAATTTCTCTGCGATCTAGGTTGAGAAGAGGAATTTGCACGAACTCGGTTGAGAGCATTCGCAGTGTAACGGCCACCCGAAGCCTTGCGAAACATGGCATAC